GTAGGTGATGGGGAGGAAGGCAGCAAATCACACTGCCACGTGTGTACCTATGCAACAATCTTGCATGTTCTTCACATGTACCCCAAAACCTAAAATGCAATAAAATAAATAAATGGGGAAAAAAAAATTTTATGAGGTGATTACCAAAAAGTGTCTAGAAAGGCTCTATAAGTGGGGATTGATTTTTTTTTTTTTAATGGAGAAAAATTTTTACATCTGCAGGTAAAAATTTTGAACGCAAAGGAGGAAGAGAAAAATCTTACAAACATCTAGTTAAAAAGAACATATTATCTACAGAAGAATGGTGCTGGAATTAGACTTTTTTTCTTCAATGCTGGAACGGACAGTGGCATGTCAATTAAAGACTACTGAGAGAAAGGACTACAGCCCAACAATCCTGTACCCAGATAAGATGTGGCCCATCTGTCAGGGTGAAGGAAAGATACACAGCAATTCAGACAGTTTATCTCCTGTGTTCCCCCATAGAGAAACCTATCTGAGAGAAGACTTTCCAAACATGATCACTTATGTCAACCAGAAAAACAATTTGGTGGGAATGTAGAGAAAAGAACACAGATCTGAGTTTCACCACTAGAGTTTGTGATTCAATGGTTTAGGGTCTAAATTTGCATTTTTGCAAGCTCCCAATTAATGCTAATGCTGCCAGTCTGAGAACACACTTGGAGAAACTTTAAGATGTTTACTGATTTGTTTGTTTTGAGACAGAGTTTTGTTCTTGTCGCCCAGGCTGGAGAGAGATTTCGGCTCACTGCAACCTCTGTCTCCTGGGTTCAAGCAATTCTCCAACCTTAGCCTCTGGAGTAGCTGGAATTACAGATGCCCAGCAAATTTTTTGCATTTTCTTAGCAAAGACGGGGTTTCACCATGTTGGCCAGGCTGGTCTTGAACTCCAGACCTCAGGTGATCCACCCACCTTGGCCTCCCAAAGTGCTGGGATTACGGGTGTGAGCTACCACACCCAGCCACGTTTACTGATTAAAAACTACAGTAAACTCTCACTTAACGTGGTCGACAGGTTATTTCACTTGAATTTATTGTTTCCAATAATGTATTTAAAAATTAATTTTATCATAGGCTAATTAATATGAACAAGTGTCACAAAAACATCACCAAACTTCTAAATAAAGATTCAACACACTTAGAATATTAAACTTTGAAATAAATGTGAGCTGTGCATACAATTAAGAAAGCTTTTGAAAAGTGTCTGTTCATATCCTTTGCCCACTTTTTGATGGGGTTGTTTTTTCTTGTAAACTTGTTTAAGTTTTCTGTAGATTCTGGATATTAGCCCTTTGTCAGATGGGTAGATTGCAAAAATTTTTTGTTATTCTGTTGGTTGTCGGTTCACTCTATTGATAGTTTCTTTTGCTGTGCAGAAGCTGTTTAATTAGATCCCATTTTTCTATTTTTGCTTTTGTTGCCATTGCTTTTGGTGTTTTAGTCCTGAAGTCCTTGCCCATGCATATGTCCTGAGTGGTATTGCCTAGGTTTTCTTCTAGAGGTTTTAAGGTGTTAGGTCTTATATTTAAATCTTTAATCCATCTGGAGTTAATTGTTGTGTAAGGTGTAAGGAAGGGGTCCAGTTTCTGCTTTCTGCACATGGCTGGCCAGTTTTCTGAACACCATTTATTAAACAGGGAATCCTTTCCCATTGCTTGTTTTTGTCAGGTTTGTCAAAGATTGGATGGTTGTAGATGTGTGGCATTACTTCCAAGGCCTCTGTTCTGGTTCCATTGGTCTGTATCTCTGTTTTGGTACTAGTACCATGCTGTTTTGATTACTGTAGGCTTGCAACATAGTTTGAAGTCAGGTGGCATGATGCCTCCAGCTTTGTTCTTTGCTTAGATTTGACTTGGCTATGCGGGCTCTCTTTTGGTTCCACATGAAGTTTAAGGCGGTTTTTTCCAGTTCTGTTAAGGTCAATGGTAGCTTGATGGGGATAGCATTGAATCTATAAATTACTTTGGGCAGTATGGCAATTTTCATGATATTGATTCTTCCTAACCATGAGCATAGAATGTTTTTCCATCTGTGTGTGTCCTCTCTTACTTTCTTGAGTAGTGGTATATAGTTATCCTTGAAGAGGTCCTTCACATCCTTTGTTAGTTGTATTTCTAGATATTTTATTCTCTTTATAGCAGTTTTGAATGGGAGTTTGTCCATGATTTGGCTCTTTTTCTGTTGTTAGTGTATAGGAATTCTTGTGATTTTTGCACATTGATTTTGTATCCTGAGACTGCTGACGTTGTCTATCATATTAAGGAGATTTTGGGCTGAGACGATGGGGTCTTCTAAATATACAATCATGTCATCTGCAAATACAGACAATTTGACTTCCTCTTTTCCTAATTGAATACACTTTCTTTTTCTTGCCTGATTGCTCTGGCTAGAACTTCCAATAGCATGTTGAATAGGAATGGTGAAAGAGGGCATCCTTGTCTGGTGCCAGTTTTCAAAGGTAATGCTTCCAGGTTTTGCCCATTCGGTATGATATTGGCTGTAGGTTTGTCATAAATAGCTTTTATTATTTTGCGATACATCCCACTGATACCTAGTTTACTGAGAGTTTGTAGCACAAAGGGCTGTAGAATTTTGTTGAAGGCCTTCTCTGCATCTATTGAGATGATCACCTGGTTTTTGTCTTTGGTTCTATTTCTGTGATGGATTACGTTTATAGATTTGCATATGTTGAACCAGCCTTGCATCCCCAGGTTTATCAACTTCATGTCTAAAGGTCACTGAAGTATCCTATGACATGCCTACAGGTAGCTTAATTGTCTTGGCCATTGTCAATAGCAGCCCCCATTCACTAGGAGAACCACCAGAGCAAACTCCAGATTTTAAATGAATGCAGACTGGGTGGTGCCACCTTTGTTGAGAGTTACTGCTTTAGATAATTTAATCATCTTGATTGTTCTTGTGATAGATCTGGAGTCCATTACCACAATCTAATCAATCCAAAAGTCATGAAGTCTCCACCTACTACTTAAGGTGACTCAATAGAAACCTGCCCCTTTGCCTCCACATCAGCTCATTTGGAAGACCTGGGTATAGATGGTCATCTCCTTGGCTCAGAGACCCTGCAGCAGCTGAGGTGCCTGTCTCTCTCTGGTTCCCAGTGGCTGCCATCATGCTCTCCTCCCCACTCAGGATGGCTGTGGTGTGCATGAGCAAAATCAACAGGAGCATGGAGGCCCACATCATCCTCAGGAGAAAAGGGCTAAGCGTCCAGTCTTTTGGAACTGAATCTCATGTGAAGCCCCCAGGACCAAGACCCGATCGTCCTGTGGTTTATGATTTTGCAACAACATATAAGGAGATGCACAATGACCTCCTCAGGAAAGACAGAGGATGCTACACCCAGAATGGAATCTTACACATCTTGGGAAGAAATGAGAGAATCAAGCTGGGTCCAGAAAGATTTCAGGAATGCACCAATTCCTTTGATGTCATCTTCACCTGTGAGGAGAGTGTCTATGACGGAGTGGTGGAAGATCTGTGTTCCAGAGATCAGCAGACCTTGCAGACTGTGCACGTGATCAACATGGACATTGAAAATACTCTGAAAGGTGCCACCCTGGGAGCTTTCCTCATCTGTGAGCTTTGCCAGTGCCTGCAGCAGGCAGATGACATGGAAGAAAGTCTGGAGGAATTGCTGCTGCAAATGGAGGAGAAGGCAGGAAAGAGCTTTCTTCACACTGTCTGCTTCTACTGAAGATCTGGGCTGGCTTTGTCTCCTTCCATGGTAAGAACTTAGGCATGAGACTTTAGACTGGTCCAGATTTACTGTGAGAAGTACCTTTAAAGACCTTTCACTAAGTGCTGTTTGTATTATTTTTGTACATATCATCTGGAAAGAGAATATTGCCAAGAAAAATTTTATGGGAAATTAGGAGTAACAGTTTTTAAAGCACTGAAAATGTTTGGCATTGTTCTAGGTGCATTACATAGAATAACTAACATAATGGTTATATCATTCTACAAGGAAGTTATCCCACCATGACTGCATTTTCCAGATGAGCAAACCAGACTGATAATTGACTGCTGGGAAAATGATTTGTTTAAGGGCATTCAGCAGATAAATAACATTGTATAGATAAGCACTTTTTAAATAAATTTCCTTTTTTCTATTTGAGTGCTATTTTTTTTTATTTTTAAATTTTTTAAACTAGTTGAGACCAATAGAATGTGGTATGTTAACTTAAAAGTGGTCCTTCTTTAGTAAGAATATTACATATTTGAACAGATGAATGTTTTTACATACAGATTATATCTTTTTTTACTAATGCTCACTTTAATAGGTAAAACTCAAGTTAGATAATGATCTACATATTATTGTAAAATTTGGAATTATCTACTCAAATAGTAGGTCACCAAATTAAATAAAAATATATAAATAAAAAGTATATTCTTGGCTGGGTACCGTGGCTCACACCTGCAATCCCAGAAATTTGGGAGGCTGAAGTGGGCATATCGCAAGGTCAGGATTTCGAGACCAGCCTTGCCAATATGGTGAAACCTCGTCTCTACTAAAAATACAAAAATTAGCCGGGCACGGTGGCAGGCACCTATAGTCCCAGCTACTTCAGATGCTGAGGCAGGCGAATTGCTTGAACCCGAGAGGTGGAGGTTGCAGTGAGCCAAGATCGCGCCACTAGATTCTAGCCTGGGTGACAGAGGGAGACTCCACCTCAAAAAAAAAAAAAAAAAGTATATTCTTACCTATGTTTGGGGGACAGATTTCACACCACTAAGTTACATGCTTTTGTTTAAACCTTATGAATTACACTGAGAAAAGCAATCTTTCACAGTAAAAAAATTTTATCAAATCTAAAATGTTTATTGGTATGAAGATTGAGAGACACAAGTGAAATACTTTTTTGTAATCCTTGGTAGTAGCATAAACCATGTTTACTAATAGGAGAAAAATAGATCAGAAGTAGTTGTTCATAGTTGAATTAATTTACATATCTACTGGATTAGACTTATTATGGCAACCTAAAATAACAACAGAGATTAGCTCTCAAGTTTATTTTAATGAAGGATCGCAATCAGGAATGCACAGACTATCACAAGTCGTAGGTGCACCCTGAGAGGCTGGGGTAGGGGAAACTTTTAAAGGCAAAAAGAAGTCCATAGAAGCTGCTTTGAAACAAAATTTATTGGTCACAGAAGCTCACTGCAGGAGTTGGTATTAGCTTACTGGTGGAGACAGCCATTGCTAGGTATGTGTTCTTGCAAGAGCATTTTATCTGGAATGCCGCAGTCTTGAAGATAATGCAGTTATGGAATTATGTGTGGACATGCAGAATGAACAAAGTATGTAAGACCTGCTGATGGTATAAAGTATGCAGGATGTGCCATAATCTCTCATGGGTTTTAGGGAGTTTTTATGATAGTTCTTATCTCAGGTATACAAGCATGGGCTCCCCTTCTTCATGACCTTCCAGCTCCACTTCATCAGCATTCCCCATGGTGAATTTACCCTTTTTCCCGTTCTCCATACTGGACTCTTTAGAAAAAAGTCCCTATGCGCAGCCCACATTTAAGGAGTGGGGACTTGTGCTCTACTTTCTTATGGGTGGATTATCTATGTAAATTATATGGAATTACTCCACATAGATGTGTCTATTCTCCCCCTCATTAATATATTTATTCAATTATTTCTTCATATCAGTATGGAATCTTAGATACATATTTTTCTATGTGGGGTTACAATTCAATCCTTTGTTCTGTTGCTCAAATTGTTTTTGTTATGGCCATCGGAAGCTTTCAGTTGCCTCCCGTGCCCTTTCATGTGCCCCATCATGGTGTCTGTTTTGTTTTACTTCATTTTTCATGGGAAAGGAAACTCACTTTCTGGCATTGTGAGATACCTCAGGTTCATCTTATATATGTCCAGTCTCAGTCCCAGAATCAGCAATTTCTCCAAAGAATCCTTTTTGTATTACTGGAAGATGATGAGAGAGATCAAAATCAGGTGTGCTTGATGCTACTAAGGTACCATCATTTTCTGACCTGCCTCCTTTGGCTACATTTAAACTTTTTCCCTTTGTCTTAATTTTCAGTTTGATTATGAGGCATCTATATATAACTTTCTCTGTTCTTAAGCCTCCTTGAAGTTCAGTGAGCTTTTCGAATCTCTAATTTTTCAGCTTTTTACCTAATCTGAAAAATTTCAGCAATTATTACCTCAAAAACAAAAAAGGTCCCATTTTTTCTCTCCTTTCATTTTGAGACCCGAACCACAGATCTGTTATACCTTTTGACATTGTTCCATCAGTACCTGCGGATTATCGCTTCTCGGTCTTTTGGCTAAGATCAAGTGTAGTACCTGAGGATCTCTTCCTTTTGTTTTTTGTTCTTTCTCTCTCACTTCTTCAGTTGGATAATTCTGCTGATAGATCTTATAGTTAATTTTTAGAAGTAAAATTACCATGGTCAAAGAGAAGTGTAATCCAGGAACAGTGGCTCACACCTGTAATCCCAGCAATTTGAAATGCTGAGGCAGGAGGATTTTCTTGATGCCAGCAGTTTAAGAACAGCCTGGGGAACATAGTGAAACCCTATCTCTACGAAAGAATAAAAAATAGAAATCAGCCAAGTGTGGTGGCACACACGTGAGTCCTAGCTACTTGGAAGGCTACTTGGAAGACAGAGTAAATGTGTTTTTAAATTTATTAGATATTCAAGATTCCATCCATAGAGTCTGTAATATTTTCATTACCACTGGCAAATGTACCTTTTCCCTGGAAAACTTGCCACCAGGGTATGTTGTCAAGCTTTTGAACATTTGTCGATCTCATAGTTTGTCAAGTATGACTGTGCATCTGTAAAAATAGCTGCCAGCCATTCTCTCTGCTGAACACACATGCCATTCCCCCATCATGATATGCAGTCTATTATCCATCCCCTTTTATCCAGGGACATGGTCTTATGATTTGCTTCAACCAACAGAATGAGCTTGAAGTATTACATTCTCTGCTTTGTGAATAAGACTTGTGTGAAACCACAGACAAGTCAGGTGGTGATTATATAATCCAGGTCAGATCTTGGGGTGCATTGGACATGGGGCCAGGAGCACTGGCTCATGCCAATAATCCCAGCACTTTGGGAGGCTGAGGCAGGTGGATCACTTAAGGTCAGGAATTCAAGACTAGCCTGGCCGACATGGTGAAACCCCACCTCTACTAAAAATACAAAAATCAACTGGGTGTGGTGGTGCCTGTACTCCCAAATACTTGGAAGGCTGAGGTGGATGGAAGAATCTCTTGAACCCAGGATTCAAGTGCCACTGCACTTCAGTCTGTGTGACAGAGCAAGACTCTGTCGCCAA